CCCCTCCCACTTTCCTAGGGAATCATAGCTCCTCTTTCCAAGAAGAGGGGCTATTCTCGCAGACATAAGGATTGTGAAACTGGCGGTATGATCCCTACCGCACCTCACAAGCGATTCATGCATGGGCTTATGTGAACGTATAGACCTTGTAACGATGACATATGACACTTGTACAACCCCCTACATATTCGTGTGTAAGCACTGGATCTAAAACGCAAGCCATTACTTAGAACACGGCTAAAGCAGTGTTGCTGCAACAAGATCGTGCGCTGTCGGCCCTGAGTTACAACCGCTAGGCCACTGGCTTAGGTTTCCGAGAGATTTTTGTATCAAGATCACCAAGAGCTCCTAGCACTATACTGGGGTATTTTTATTCTACTCGTTTCTCCTGCCTTTTTCTTCTTTAGAGCTTGAGGACCTTGAAGTCTTGCTCCTTCAAAGTTCTGACAGTAACTTTCAAAGAACAACTCTTCGCAGCGGATACAAATTACGTTGTAGTTTCTGGAAAGTATTCTGACCTGACACTAGCACCTCTAAGTATAGGCCAGTTACTAGGATCAACTCCTGTTCTAAAAGCAGGACATCGATGTCTAAGAATTGCCACGTCACCCCTCTTCAACTCTTTTTCTTCTTTGGAGGTTTCGGAGAGTGGTGAGCCACTTGAGGTTTCGCCGTTCCCACAATTTAGTCGTCATGTATTTCAGACCTGAGAGAAGCACTTCTCTCACTGGATCTGCCGTTTGCAGAAGTTCAGGACCTAACTAAGATCTTGATTTGTGCATCTCAGCTATGAGTCGGCTGTTGAAAAAAGCCTCAATTCTTGTCATAACTGTTCAAAATTAAATAAACGTCGTATTCCTTTTCTTCCTATGAGCTCTATGTTGTTTCCAAAATCGTAAACGGTACATCTCTCCTCACGCTGTTTAGCAATGAGCTCGCGCTCGAACTTAAATGGCTTCGATATGTATGCTCCGGTTGTTGGATAAGTGTACAGGCGAACGTACGTTTTTATCATTTATTTTCACGCGCAGTGTTATCAACTGATCTCAGAAACTCTAACTATTTCAATTTTTTTTTTGACTAACAATAAGTCACTCCTCTTTTGCTGAAGGGATCAATCCTGTGAAGGCAAAGATGTGGTCATTCCGGCAGATGCCGCCCTGCTTAATTCGGTTTCCAATCGAAAGGGAGGGTAGCCGGCCTCACCTCTGCTTAGATACAGTTCCAGGGTGAAGAATGTAGTTTTTATCTAGGCTTAAAAAGTCAAGGAGCATTGGCGTCTGAGATCATCACTTCGAGCAAAAAGCTGGGAAGGGATACAATGTGCACATTCAGTTGACTTACCCCCCCCCCCCCCCCGGTACTGCTTCCCTCCTATTCTGACCTAGGAAACGTTCCTGCGCACAATAATTGATTTGCGAAGTCGACTAGCTCCCTTCTCTGCGCTATGCGCTCGATGATGAAAAGAGCGAAGCTCCCCCACTACATCATCATCTCCGAATTTTTCATATGTATGTATAGTACGATACCTGAATAGACATATCACACTGCTGAAGTACTCACTTCACAGTACTCCACTCCTTTAGCTGGCCCATCAAGTTGTTGCTCTATATAGTTTTCGTGCAGCTTCTTCGTTTATCTCGTCACACCTCATCTAATATCTCTGCATCTCGTACAGGCGCACTCACGCCAGGAGTTCATGGTTATGAATCCCTCGATGTAGAAACCTACGCAGATGCCAGCAGTAAGTCTGCTATGGCAGCCGTAGATGATTTCGACAGCAAGCACCGCAAGATACCAATATGCGAGGGTCATCTTATCCTAACTAATAACACCGTTGGAGAAGTGCTTCAGTTGTAACATTTTCAGGTGGTCGGCAAGTATTTCGCATGGACCAGAAAACTATTAAGGGGCAAGGGTCAGCCCCTCATTTGCCAAAAGTGCTTATAACCAATGCAGAAGCGAATGTAGTTGAATACCTGGGCTTTTTTTATCGCAGGTATACCAATAATTGATTATTTATAAACTGGTATACCAGTCCAAGAATGAATTCGAATTGAGAGTGCCCCAGAAACATGTTTGCCTACTACCATTAGTCGTTGAGTGGTTTCGAAGGAGCTAAGGAGCTACGAGATAGTAGGCCCTACTTCAGTTACACGTGCTCTGGAAGCCTCAGAGTTCAGAGGGGTTGCGAAGGCTACTAGTCGGATTGTCACAAATAACGATTCATTCAGGCTCTGAGAAGGCTTCGGAAACGCCAACCTTTCGGAGTTTAAAAAGAAACTTTTTGATTTGCTCACGAAAACAATTCACTAATGCATGTCATTTAATTCCTGAAATTTTCATGATTTTTTCCGAATCATACCTAACAAATTGAAATCAAGCACCGTAAAATAGAGTGCGAGCGACATTTCTTGCACGCTCCCGAATGTTTGGTGTTTCGATAACAAATTTGTGGGTAGCAATAGGGACTCAGGGCTCTTTTGTCGCTTACATCTTGATTCGGGCAGACCTCTCTTACCACATGCTCGCACACAAAAATAGCTCTTATTGTTAATGGGCATCCTATCGTAATTGAATTCCAAAGAACAGTGAACAACGAGTCAGATTCTCTCATCCTTCTAACTAGGTTTAGTTCTCTAAGTTTAATGCTCGGGTTATCCGTGGAGCATGGGGGCAACATTTGGGATTCCACGTCTGAAATATGAGCTTAGCATAAGAACTACCACGTCCCTCCCTGCTGTAAACAAGCAAAGCAGATTGGAAAAAGTCTGGAATTCAAGCAAGATTAGAAAACGAGAAACCGCACTGACCGTTCACAGAACAATCATCACTGCTTGCGTTCCAATCAGCAAACGTCAGTAGAGGAACAAAGTTCAATTCGTATTTACAACTTGGATTCATCAATAATCCCACAGCTTCCTTTTTGAGAGCAACTGGTCTACCTGAACAGCCATCTATTCACGTGACTACAGTGAAAAGATAAAAGTGCGGGAAGAAAGTGAGAACATGTTGACCTCACCTGAAAATTCACCCATGAAAACTCGTTTTTGATCGTAGTCATTTGCGTGCAAATTGTCCCAAATAAGCGGTCTGCGACGGAGTATTCTGGATACACTTCGAACGTGATCAACGGTAATATGACGAGAGATCACCCGAGGGCCTGACAGAGCAAGAATAACGGATATATACAACAAACTGTGAATAATAAAAGCAACCTGTCCAAAGAATATGTACATCATTGATTAGCTCCTCTCCTAGCGTAGCTAGATATTCGGAGTGCTCCAGCGATGGCACTGCTCGACTTTCACAATATTCTGAAGTTAGGAGGATAAGCTTAGGTTAAAGGAAGGTATACTGCAACCACTTGACTCACCTGTGGGGCAAAAAAAGAACTGGGGACGTCCTAGATATTCGTAAACCTCGTTGGTCACAGCAACCTGAAGAAAGCTTTCATTATGCTGCGTTCATATTACGAGCCTTTTAATAAAGTCATGGCGGCAGCGATAGGTACCGGCCACCTGTCGATGTTCAAGTTGTGAAATGATCCCCTAGACGAATTTTCTTTGTACAGAGAAGGCCTGCTTTCCCCAAAATACGCTATATGCGTATATGTACTCATGTATCCGTTATATATGTACATATATGCATATATACATACATATATCCTACTTTATGTAATTCGCTAAGTGTGTCTGTTGGTGTGTCGGTGTGTTTGTGTGTGTGTGTATGTATGGTATGTATGGTATGTATGGTATGTATGGTATGTATGGTATGTATGGTATGT